GAAAAGATAGGAAAGGAATTGGAAGACAAATAATATATGTAAGAAAAGTGATTTATGCATAGCGGGAAGGATAAAGAACAGAAATATGAGAGAAAAGCAAAGTGTGCGAAAGCATCCATGTAGGATGTCCAACTAATAGGCTTCTAGAATGAGAGAGATTGTGGTGGGAAGAAAGTCACCAAAGAAAAATATCTAGAAAATTTCCCAGAAGTGAAGAATAAGAAATTGAATAGTACACTCATTCCCTACAGCAAAACACATTTTTGTGACGTTTTTGACATCAGCCTGAAAAAAAGATTTTCCTTCAGAAAGAATCTGCAGGAAGAAGCTGCAGGTGACAATCATGGTTCCAGCAGTGGAAATAATTTATATCAGTTTCCACAAATTCTCTTTGGCCCTGGAGCCAGAGGTTCACATTCTGAAGGCAACGGTTAGCTAGAAAATGTGGGCAGGAAGTCAAGGGGAACTTAGTAACTGAGTAGACACCTAATGAACCATATGAGCTGTCGCATGTGTCTAAGGATTAAATATTTAATCTCAGCTTTTGTGGAAATGTTAAGTTGTGTAAAGTCCAGGGTTTCTGGTGAATGAGCCAAGGAGAATTAGCTGGAGGTGACTCCTGATCCTGGCTCGGCTTCCAAATCCGCCTTCCTGTCCCAAGTCATTAGATGGATCCGGGTTAGAATAGGTCAAGCTAATGTTTACTTCTCAGGAAAAGAAAGACTGAGGTGGCCCAGTCCCCAGATGATAGGGCTCCAACTTCCTGCTGTCCTCACCTGTGCCCTCCCTATGGTGACTCCAAAGTCCTCTCCAGGAACATAAAGAATGTGGTGTTCCCACCAGGATGTCACGCTGAGGCCTGGGTTTAGGTTTGAAGTAGGGTTTGAGCCTTGCCTTCATTAGACATTCAATTTCAACTGAAATTCTCTTTCTGAATAGACCTAATAATAAAACATGTAATAACTCACAATCCATCTGGATAAGCAATTACACAATCATTAGTTAAGCACCTACTGTACAACTATTGTCATAGAAAGACAGAGTGCACAGGTCATGCCCTCCTGGAGCATAACACGGGGAAAGAGCCATGGGGCCTGGGCCTGGTTGCCAGGACAGAGATGCACACGGAGAGCCATGGGGTCTTAGAAGGAGATCCCCAGAGACTCAGGGCCCGGAAAGGACTTAAGAAGTTGGTGGTCTTTGATGTGGCATCAGGTGAATAAAGAATTCAACCCAGAGGGACTGAGGCAAGGACAGTGGAGAAGGGGACTCACAGGGAGCAGATGCCTTGAGCTGAAAACTGTGCGGCCTGCACAGAAATCAACCTGGAGTTCACACAGGGCGGTTGTGCAGGTCAAGGTCACGGGATCCATCTGAACCATAAAGTGAAGGTCCAGAGGGTCACGCTGAGGAGGTCAGCAGTGCTGAGAGCGCCTCTCGAGCCCGAAAGCCTGGCCCCTTACTGGCTGCGCCGGCCACTAGCTGTGTGCCCTTTGTCAAGCTACTTGACCTGTCTTGTCCCATTGTCTGCAGTTGGGGAGAAATGATATGCCCACCTCATGGGGAGGGTGACCACACATCTCAGTTTGCTCAGGACAAACCTGGTTTATGCTGCTGTCCTGGCATTCCGTCCATTAAGAGACCGCTTTCTCCTCCAAAGTGCCCCTGTTTGGTGAATAAATTTCATCATCACATTACTCATTGAGTTGCTGTGAAGATTAAAAGAGGTTGTCACCCTGCCCTTCACAGAGTAAATGCTCTACAATTGTTTGCCATTCATGTTTTACTGAATGTGGAAAACAAGTAACACAGGTTAGAGGCGGGTATTGAGAAGATTACTAGGCCAACAGAACGCAGAATATGTTCTACAGACAAGTTATATATAAAGTATCTCAATAAAACTCTTTCAAGAAGGGGTCAGAAATTTAATAGGAAGCACAGATAAAAAAAATGCTTTGTTTTTGAACTTAGCCCTTTTGCTTCATGTGTGAACATGGCATCTCTCGGCTTTTTAGAGAATGTGAAGTAGAAGCCGAGTTCTCAGTGGTCTATAATGGTCCCAGCAATCCTTCAAGGTTTATCATAACATTTTCTCAGGTTTATAAATTACCGACTGGCAGCCGACATGGACAGAGCACCTACTCTGTGCCCTGCCCTGTTCTGAGGACGTCCACACTGTAACTCACTCAGGCCTCACGACAACCCTCGGACGATTCCCACTGTACAACGGGACACAGTTGTGAAACCTCCACACCAGTGTGGCCCAGGGCATGGGAGACGCCTGTTCTTAGAATGGCCTGGATACTGTGACCAGTGGACATCAAGATGTCCCCAAGACCAGGGCCTTTCCTGAAGTGTGTGGCTGGGGAAAGTGCCTCCCAGCCTAAGTTCTAGACTTGGTGTGACCTTCAGGAAGAACAGGTTCACGTCCAAAGCACATGCCTGAGGTTCATGTGCCAGCAGCCCAGGAGGGGAGGGGCAGAACCAACTTTACAAAATGAGTGACAAAGAAGAAATGTAGGGTATCTTGTCCCCAAATACCGTGGGGCTGATGTATACGACTAACTTACAATTAATGAAAACTCAAGGATCATCTAAATTTCAGAACTCTTTATAGGCTTTTCCCCAAAATATGAATCACAGAGAAAAAATGGCTCTCATTGAGTGATATTACTTTATTAAGTATGGCAAGGCCTTAAATGAGCCAAGTATTCATGTGAGTATATCTCAGGTCTTGTCGGAGCCTCAGGACAGGCCAAATAGAATTCCCTCTTACCGCACATTTATCTCTACTCGAGACAAGGGTATTCACGGTGAAATCTGTGCAGAATTCAGCTCCACACCATGGTTTGTCACAGAAGGCGATCAACGGATGTCAGAAACACTGAAACCGAAGGCAACTTCAAAAACCCTCTACTTTCTGAACTGATTTTGGGGACCTGAGTCAAAGTGCCTTTTGGGAGGAAGAAAAAAATCAGGCCAGCAATACAGGCATTCTCACCTTCTGGTTTCTTCCATTTGCATTTGTAAACAATTTTTTGAAATGAGCCTTTGTGAGTAGACTTATTGTACTTGATTCACCTGAGAACGTTCCGTGTGTGCTTTGCAGAAAACATGGAGGGAAAGAGACACACACTTTACTGTGGGCTCATGGACATGAGGTATGATTTTGTTTGCTGAGTAAGAAGCTGTGAAGGGCCCAGTGTCCCAGGAGGTGACAGGGCAGGTCTCTAATGACTGAGGCTCCAGGCAGAGTCCTCATTAAGTCCCTTTAGAGGAGACAGTCGCCCATTTCATTACTAAAGTCCTTCACTTGCCTTTGGAATGAAGATGGCAGCAATAGTCTGCCTGTGTGAGGGGACACCCATAAGAACATAACCTTCCTCTTTAGTTCCAGCTTCTTCCTAAATCAGTATTGTCCTTGGCAATTTAAGCTCCAGCTAAAAGATGGAAAGAAGTGAGTCCCAAATAATCCAGACAGAGAATAATGCGTTCACAGGGAATTAACTATTGACTCACCTCTGAGGCTCTCTAATCCATTTCTTTGTTCCTGAACCTAAGCCAACTTTGTTTCTCTTGTTCCTGTTCCCTTCATATTGTCCCTGCTTAACCCCATGTGGCTTTTCTATATTATGAGGCTGTCCCGTCCCTCTCCTGACACCAAGAGGCACACTGCACGCTTCCCTTCCCCTGTCAACTGCCATCTGCTCTCAGGGCCTGTGTACTTGCTGTTCCCTGGGCCTGGAACACTCTTCCCCAGATGTTCCCCTGGATTTCACCATCCAAGCTTAAAAGTCCCTCCTCCGATGCTTGCCTGGACCTCCTACAGGACAGCTGCCATACTTGTTTGTTGTTCTTTACACCATCACTTTCCCTTGATCTTCAGTCAACTGTAGGCATGTTTGTTGTCTCCCCTGTGAGAGATAAGCTGCACTAGTGCCAGGCCCTGGTTGAACTTGTTCCTACAACTGAACCTGTGACATGTAGCACAGGGCTTAGTCATAGGAGAATCATGGTGGTTGTGAACAATGGATGGAAAGATAGAATCAAGAATGGATAGATGGATGGATGAATGGATGGATGGATTGAACCTCCCATAGTACTGTTGACCCTGTTTTAAGTTCTTTGATGAGATCTTTACATAGACTGTCTGCCATCCTTACAAAACCAGGTATGGTACCACATACCTATTTTAGAAATGGGAAAAGGGAGCTCGGCATGGCCAGCACTTTAACTCACCCAGGGTCACCGCGTGATCATATGTTGCATCCAAGATTCAAATCCACATCTGCCAGAGCCCACCATTGGGCACTGCCTCCCCTAAGCATCAGTTTTTCTACTTCTCACATTGTCCTTTGAGTCAGTGGAAGAGAATCCCTAAAAAAGCTAACAAAAACTGAGCAAAATTTAATTCAACATTTATATTAAATTGATGAAATTGACTTAACTAAGTGAGATTCTTTGTAAATCAACTTTCAAAGCCCCTGAGACATTAGTATTTTCCAGCTCCAGCCCCTGACTGAAAACGTCTGCCTCCTAGTGGCCAAATGTGGTATTGCGCCCAGCCCAAGTGCTCCGTGAAGCAGGAGGAACAGACACAGGATATGAACCTTTTTGTACCTCGAAGATGGAGAAGAAAAAGAGAAAGAAGAGGAGGAGGAGGAGGTAGAGGGGGAATGAAGAGGAGTAGGGTGGGGAGATAATGAGGACCACCATAATGATAAAGCAACAAGGCTCACTATGTTGTAATTTGCTTTAGTATTTAGCAAGCACATCTGCATTTATTGCATCTACTGTCAGGTACCATTACTGCAGCTCTTTAAAAAGCTCTGTCTTCTTGGTTTCTACAATCCACACAGGCTGGCCGGGTTCTGGGTGACTCTGGCTGTGGTTTCCTGGCCCAGAGCCAGGTTCATCCTGTGACTCATTCCCTCATTGGTGGGAGGGATTACGGTGGCCACCAGGAGAATAAAAGGAGGCGTTCAGGGCACTCACCTCCACAGTGAGTTCCTTCTTCCCGGCCACATCGGCGTCACCAGCCCAGAACCGCTGCCTCCACCATGAAGCTGCTGACAGTCCTCATGCTGATTGCCCTCCCCCTCTCCTGCTTTGCAGGTGAGCGCTGCCCAGGAGGGCGGGCTTTGGTTAAAGGTTGTTGTCAGGGCCCCTGTGGAAGACCTCCTGTCCCCCCCACCCTCAAGCCCAGACATAGCATGTCATTTCTCTAGTGTCCTCGTTTTTCATGGTTTTGTCTTCTCTGGGCTGTGGAAGAGGGGTGCAAGGAGGCAAATGTCTCAGGGTTTGAAGGAAATCCCAATCCTGAGTTTACTCTCCTAGATTTGAGAACTCAAGACCATTGACTATGATCTTTCCAAATGTGTGTCTCTACTGGGATGAAAGATGACAAACACCATAGTTACGCCCAAACAGGAATTCAGACCTCTGTAAGTGAGCCCACTTTTCATGCTTTCATTCCAGGTTCTGGCTGCCTGCTCTTTGAGAAACTGATGGATCATACAATTGTTCGTGAAGTTGGTGTTGATATGTACCTGCAGGAATTTCAAGATTTCATAGACGATGAAAACACTGAAATGGCCCTAGAGAAAGTGAAGCAATGTTTTTTTGACCAGGAAGACAAAACACTGACCAACGTCCTAGACATGACGGTAATTTCTATTTCTTCTTTAAGTGCTTTTAACCCACTGGACAGGGAGAAGCAGGCTCTAAGTTTGTCACTTATTACACGAAAGCAAGTGTTGACCATGCTTTGTTTCAGTGACTTTCATTGTTGGTGAGTGTGAATAGTACTGTGATGTCAAGAAAGTCATCCAAGGTTCAATGCTGCTGTGTCTCTTCACTTTGTGGAATCTTGAGCGAATGAAAAATGAAAAGGACAAAAGGTTGAAAAACACTTGGGCAAAGGCTCCCCTAATGCTCCGCTTAGAAAATATCTGAATCCTAAGAAGACCTTCCTTCACCTGTAAGAGTGATCAGAAAAATAAACTCCTCCTGTTCATAGATCAAATAGTAAAACACTTCAAAGAATTTTCAATAGAGTCCAGGAAATTTGTTCTCAGGATTATTCCATATATCATATTAACACAATCTAAAATGCACTTTGAAGCAATCAAAGTTTGTCAGTATAAAAGGTTGAAGTCCTCACCATTAATTAAAGACCCATGAATGACATGTGCAATTCCGGGTATGAACCCACCACTGGTGAGGGAATTGTTTAAACAAAATCAGTAGTTTAACAATGAAATAATCTTTCTAATTATGACAGATTTTTGTAGTTTTACCTAGCATTTATTCCCTATCCTAATGTAACATTTAAAACATTCCAGGTTAGACAATTTAGAAGTATTGCCAAAGCACAAACACACAAGTGCACATCACTAAAAAGTTCTGAAACAGGGTGAAACATGGAAGAACCTAAAAAAACATAATAATAATAATAATAATAATAATAATAATAACAATAAAAGGCAGTCAGAGAAAGAGAAATATAGCATGACTCCACTTCTATCAGTTTTCTAGAGTAGCCAATGTCTTAGAAACAGAAGGTAGAATAGAGGTTTCCAGGGCTTGGGTGGTGAGGAAATTGGGAGTTGTTTAATGGGTATAGAGCTGCACTTTAGCAAGATGCAAACGTCCTGGGGTCTGGTTGCACTGCAAAGAGAATATTCTTTTTTTTTCAAGGTTTTTTTATTGGGGAATTGGGGGAGGGGAACAGTGTTGGGGAATTGGGGAAGGGGACCAACCAAGTTATTGTTCTTCAGTCTTTTCTGTGGAGGGCACCTGTTGCCATCTGGCTGCCCGGTGGCAGCTTGTGGCCTCTAAGCTCAAGGTGCTATATTCAATCTTAGTTGCAGGTGGTGTAACCACCATCCCATGCAGGAGTCGAACCAGCAGCCTTGTTGTTAAGAGCACATGCTCTGTCTACTGAGCTATCTGGGAGGCAGCTCAGCTCAAGGTGCCTAGTTCAGTCTTAGTTGCGGATGGGTGTAGCCCTCCATTGGACAAGCAGTCTTGTTGTTACACCAGCTGAGCCATCCTGCTACCTGTTGGCAGCTCAGCGACAGCTCAGCTCGGGCGCAGCATCATTGGCCCATGTGGGAATCGAACCGGTGGCCCTGTTGCTCAGAGCTCATGCTTTTAAGCCAATTCTTAACCATCTGAGCCACTCAGCTGGCCCGAGAATAGTCCTAACACTACTAAACTATATTGAAAATGGTGAAAATGGTAATATTTTTGTTATGTGTATTTACCATAAATACATTTTTTAAAAAGTGAACAACCCCTGCAATAAATGATGATAGGAAGTTTTTCTTCAAAAACCTAGATTAGACAAATCATTCGAAGTGCACATCTCTGATATTTTGTGGCCCACAAAGGAATATGGTGGAGGCATCAGACTGTTTTCTATATTTCTACCCTGTAAAGTCATACAGGAACTCGAAAACTTCACATGTCCTTGCATTTGAGCCGAGATATTGAAAACTGGTAATACAGCATAATTTTG